ATCGCCTGCCTCTGCTCCAGGCGCTCACACAGCTTCTTGTTCTTGAACTGCAGCACCTTCATGTCCATTTCCTCCTGCACAGAATAAACACAAAAGGCTCTGAATGTGTGTAGTTCGGCAACAACACTAAGCACTCATAAATAGATTGCAAAAGGCAAAAGTCAACAACAAATGACTGACCGTAGAGGAGACTCCAGCAATGCGAATGGGTTCAATAAGGGTGGTGGTGGTCTTCTCCTCTTTTTTACTTTTCTTCTCAGGTGGCCCAGGGGGGCTGTCCCCTCCTGAGGGACGCTTTCCTCCCCCAGCACCTGACATCTTTCCTTCCCCTGCAGGACATCAGACATGACATGAAATCTTAGTATGGATATCAAGGTGTTACTAGGAAACTGCTGATTGGTTTGCAAATGGAAAACTCATTCATTTGATGACAGCTAGGAGCGTCATTAGCCTGACACATAAAGCGTGTATTCTAAATGGCTCGCAGTGCTCTTTTAGTGGTCTTTTGTGCTTGTGGACGGAAAGCTGGACGCTTATAGTGTGAGAAAAACTACCACCGGTTATAATTTGACATTTCTGATAAGATTAACGGACTTTTACAAGCTTGCTAACGCTAGCTGTGCTAATGCTAACGGTAATTCTCCTGGTTAGCTCAACGGCGCTCTTTGTCCAGCGTATTTACTGATGAACGTTGAGCATTTTTTATTCGCTGACCATCCCTACACACACATAAGAGACTCTGTGAAGAAACTCCACATGCGCAGAAATGTATATACAGGTTTCGGAGAACTATTTACATTACAAACCTTCACAAGGACTGAAAATGTAACTCAGGGCATCCAGGGAAGCAACAGGAAACAGCGACGATGTGCGGCTTCTTCGTTTTCTTTTTCTGTGGTGTCGAACTGCAGCCAGCGCAGCACTACCGCCACCTGCTGTTCACACTGTGTCACACTTGTATCGAGAATTTTATTTTTAATTAAGAAGTTGTTTTAAAAAATGAATGAACATTATTTTACTTGCATGTTGTCTTAAAATGTAACCACATATAATTATTAGTTGTGCCACAGTGTAAACTCTGAAAAAAAATAAAGAATACAACAAGCTGCAACCTCCACTCCGGCCTCACGGGGGCAGCACTGCTACACACTGTAATAATAGGGTGCACACTGAAGTTAGCTTCTGAATCAGTAGTTAAGAGAAAAGTTAAGGGAAACTGAACTTACAGCACTTTGAGGACCAATTCTGAATTTTAGTCCACGTTTTATTTTTGTAAAATTATATTTGACTTATAGGTAAAACCTTGATCCTGTCTGAAACCCACTTGCACATATGTGAAACCTTATTTTTATAAATGAAAATTCAAAAATTGAGTTGTCACAGCTTCTTTTTTTTTGTATGTACACCACATTAAATTTGGTCTAAATCAGAAAACATTATATAATTATATCTAGGCTGGTCAAATCTAGACTACAGAGGCTGAAGACTCTTTTCAACACAGTTTCTGATTTGTAAAAACCTTTAGTGAAAAGGTAGACATGTACATACCATTAGACTGGGCAAAGGTAAAATTACAACAAAAAAAAAACTCTTATATCCATCTTCAGGGGATTTTTACAAAAAGAATAAAGACTTTACAGGTCAGAAAGTGTGTCTTAAAACTCTTTTGCTTTTGTCGGACAAGCTAGTCCAGATTTCTATGTATAACTATGTAAATGTGGATTACGTTAGTCTTTGTTCAGATCCCAAACCAATTAATTAAGATATCAATATAAAGTGTTTTTTAATCTCAAACTAGTACTATGTGGCTTACATGCAAAAAAGCAATGGAATCTCCCTCTTTTTTTCTTTTTTTTACATTTTCACAACTAGATAAAAGCTGTCAAAATCAGAAAGTGGAGTTTTTAGTTTCTTTGGCATAATCCAATCTAAATGTAATTAGTCTATAGAATAATGTTTTTCGATCTGAATCTGGTCTAATGTGATCGAGATGCAAAAAAAAAAAAAAAGAACTTTCACAAATCAGAAACTGTGTTTGAAAAGTTCTCAGCGTTCTTTGGACAATCGAATCCAGATTTGACCTGTTTATATGAAGTGGTTTTAAGTCTGCACCTGGTCTGATGTGGTCTACATGTGGTTAGATATCAAAACTGTCCTTTGACGTTCTTACAACTGCGCTTTCTGACGCTGTCACACGGTTTTTCCCCTTACTCTTGTACTACATGACAGCTACTGTAGTGACGACTTAATGTTTTGGCCGTGCTGTCAGTGGAGAACAGGCTGGTCACAGAGATGAGTAACTTCAACCGAAAAGTCATCGAGAAGTTTGCAGAGCAGAAAGAGAGAAGAGCCACATTTTTGTTCAAATAGCAGGACTCCAGACTGCATGTACGACCTTTATTTTGAGAGTGTGTGAACACATCCCTGGAGCAATGTGAAGTTCCCTCTACTTTCAAACATTCCACAATCATACCGGCTCCCAAGAAACCCTCCATCACAGGACTGAATGACTACAGACCAGTGGCTCTGACATGAAGTCGGTCATGAAGTAGTTCGAGAGACTGGTGTTGAGCCACCTGAGGTCCATCATAGGTCTTCTACTGGAACCCCTATATATATCAGGCAAACAGGTCAATGGATGATGCAGTCAGTCTGGGGCTACATTACATCCTGCAACATCTCGATGGCCCTGGGAGTTATGCAAGGATCCTGTTTATGGACTTCCGCTCAGCCTTCAACACCACCATCCCTGGAATCCTCTCCACCAAACTCTCCCTCCTCAATGTGTCTCCATCCATCTGTCAGTGGATCACGGTCTGTCGCAGGAGCTGCTGATTCAGTTCTACACAGCCGTCATTGAAGCCGTCTTGTGCGGCTCTGTCACTGTGTGGTTTGGAGCAGCCACACTGCAGGAGAGGAACCAACTGCAGCGCACAGTCAGAAGAGCTGAGAAGATCATCGGAGCCCCCCTGCCCTCCATCCAGGAACTGTACTCAAATAGAACCAGGAAGAGGGCAGGGACCATCATCAGAGACCCCATCATCCTGGTCATAAACTGTTCTCCTTCCTCCCCTCTGGCAGGTGATACAGAGTCCTGCATACACAAACCACCAGACATAAAAACAGCTTTTATCCCACTGCCATAACTCTACTGAACAGTTGAGCTATTCTCAGCCATAACACTACATACATTGTTATTTTACTGCCATTTTTTGCACCACTGTACATATATATATATATGTTTTTCTGCCAGATGTGTATATTATTGTATATATTTATCTTATTGTATTTTTTTCTGTCTATAGTTATTTTGCTTTGTTATTCTTTCCTTGCTATGTCTGTGAAGATTCTCAGTCATCCAGGTCATGGTTATTCTGGTAGATTAATCGTAGCAACTCGACTTGCTTGAGGTCCTTGAAGACGTTTCTCCTCTCATCCAAGAGGCTTCATCAGTTCTGACTGACTAGTTGGGAGATCCAGATATTTATATCCTAAGGAGCCATTAACACAGGAGGATTTTCAACAATTCCTGTTCATTTCAAGCCCACCAACACCCTGAGACAGAAGCTGGTTCACCCTAAGGACAAGACACCAAGACACAAACAAAGCAACGCTGTGTACGCAGTCCAGAGGAATGCCCAGACCTACACATCGGGGAGACTAAACAAGTGCATGGCTCAGCACAGAAGAGCCACCTCCTCAGGACAGGACTCAGCAGTCCACCTGCATCTCAAGGACAAAGGAAACTCATTCGAAGAAAACAGATTTTGGCCAGGGAGGATGGATGGTTTGAGAGAGGGGTGAAAGAAGCCACCTATGTCAAACTGGAAAGACCATCCCTCAACAGAGGTGGAGGTCTGAGGCATCACCTCTCACCTGTTTACAATTCAGTCCTAAGATCTCTCCTCAGGAAGATGAAACTGCATTCACACCTCGCCACAAAAGACCCTAACAGACCCCTTTGTGGCAGGGGGAGCACTAACGACTCACATAAGGAGAGGAAGGAGTCACAACCCCCAATGAAACCGAAACTCAGATGTTAATGACTCCTTTAAGATATCTGGATCTCCCAACTAGTCAGTCAGAACTGATGAAGCCTTTTGGATGAGAGGTGAAACGTTATCAAGGAACTCAAGCAAGTCCAGTTGCTACGATTAATCTACCAGAATCTAATAGGGCGACACCAACAGCCGGAACCAAAGGCCATGTAAGTTGTGTATACACTTGGCCATTAAAGGTGATTCTGATTGATGAGCATAATGACCATGAAGCTGACTTAGTGTCGCTGTAACTGGCACAGGAAGCTGCTGTGTGGACCACAGTGGTGCAAAGTAGAACTCTTGCAACGTATTTACGCGTAAAAATGAGGTCTTCTCGTAAAAACACAGCACACCTGTTTTTTTTTTTTCCCGCTCATAGCAAAGACTACGTGTAGAATACATGTGACTCGGTTTAACCTCTGAAACATCTGACATGAGAATGCTCTTGTTTATTATTTTTAAAGTCATTTTTGGTCGCACACCTGTCAGAGCGCATCACAGCCATCAGGCAGCATCTACCACAGCCTGCTATGTGGGGCGTTCAGGGAGCTTCAGTAAATCGTAGCGTCTATCGATAAGAAAATGTTCAGCAAGTCATATGTTTTGCCTTTGACCAGGTGGGAGGTGCAGCAAAATGAGAAAGTGGGACGTACTGGTGCTACCACTGAAAAAGTTAATCTAGGGCCCTGAATAGTGTTTTTTTTCATTAGTTATGCTGTGTGTTTTGAGTTTGTACAGATCCTGTAAATATTTATGCAAGTTTGATGAATGGTTTTCAAATTTAGTTCTGGTAACTCTTACTAATGTTAAAAAGTTTCACCAGCCGCCACTAAAAGGCCTTTTACATGATTAAAATGTGGGGGAAACGGCTGTGTAAGTTAAGTTTCCCTTAACTTTTCCCTTAACCGTCGAATCAGAGACGGACTTCCTGTCCGTCGCTTTCGAGGTTTCCAGGAATGTAGCAGAATGTAAACAGAGCTCAGGTGCTAGCTAGCTGCTGTCCACGGTAACGAGTTCTCATATCGGTGCTGTCGCCGCTGAATCGCACAAAGTCATGAATCCACGATAGACTCCCTGTTTTCCTGAGATGACAGTCTGACACCGAGGCGTCGTTCACCGTCTGTCGTGGTTCGGTCTAATTCCCGGTGAGTAGCTTCCTGAGCGGTCAGTGAACCTGCTGCTGCTGCTGCATCAAGGCCGAGTCAAAGACACCGAGTTGTTCTGATGGATAAACAGCGCGTTTCTCTGCAACAGTAGAGAGCAGAGATGTTGGGGTTAAATCACTAGCACGATCTGCTGAATAGCTTTTACCTAAAGTAAAAAAAACCCAATACTTCCTTATCAGCAGTTAGCTCAGTAGTTCCTCATAATAAGCAGCACTAGAGGCGTTGTTAGGATCAGACCAGCAGAGTTCAGATTATTACCTGATAAATGCACATTTTTCAACTTATTTCGGAGCTAAACTGATATATAATGCGAGACACTGTGTTTCTACGATCAGCTCATGTTGCACATTGAAATCACAATGAGATCAGACTTTCTTTTTGGTGCTTTGGAATTACTTTTTTAACCTCTTAAGGCCTGGCTTGGCCCAGTAGTTAATTAATTTTATTATTATTATTATTATTATTATTATTATTATTATTTCATGTATCTATTTTATTTTAAAGCATATCATAAAGCACTTCCGGTCGTAGCTCATTTAAGGCAAGCGTTGGCTGGCAGTTACAAGATCTTACAGGCTGCTGGAGCATTATGGTGAGATTATCGGTGCTCATTGAGCTACAGATCTGCCGTGTTTTATTCATCAGCGAAGCTTTTGTGAACCATCAGTTAAAAGAGCTGGACCATCATTCAGCTACGGATGCTGTAATATAAATGAGCTACACCACTGCAGCGGGGGACATTTTCTTCATTCTGATGAATACAGACCTCTCTAGTTTATTTTGAGTGACTCCCATGTAGACAATCCTGCTGCCTTACATCCAAATGTGTAATAATCGGTGATTTCAAATCCAAAACGAATGCATCATTTGTTTCTGGTAAAGTTCAGTTTTGTTTAAAACTACTGCACTCAGCGGTTTATGGAGATTATTTGGACTCTTGAAAGATTCAGTCATGTGTGAGCGATCTTTTTAATATTTGCATCTTCAGTGGGAGCAAACAGGCTTGGAGCTGAGTGGCACAGACGGTAAAGAAGTTAGGATCGAGCAAAGGACTAAATGTGTGATCTGTGCGGACTGCTGCTGAAGGTGATGTGCTGCTCGATGTATCTGTTTACATGCGACACCTGCAGCGCACAGGTTCTGGCGAAGGAAGACAGTGAGATTTCATTTCAGGATTGCTGTGTCTGCTGTTTTTGAACCCAGCACAGCATTGTGAAAAGTTTTTTTTTACCCGTTTTGTCTAATGTGGGTCGGTTAACATCCACAGACTACAGATAAAGTTACTGTCAGTTAGTACTGCCAAATAAATGGGGATAGACAGGATGATCAAGAGCCCATAGCTGAATAGAAGGTAGACCTTTTCTGTATACCGGTTGTTTGATTTAGAAACATGTAGACAATTTATGAGCCATTTCTGTGTAAATGTCCAGTGCAAATTTTTAAAAATATAATCAGAGTGTTTGAAGTATAACACCAGCCTTATGCGTCCACTGAACTCGCTGTGTTCACACTCTGGAGGTACAAAACAGCTAAGCATGTTGTCACGTTACGGCTGAGGTATTGTTTAAGCAATCAATGACGTTATCGTGACATAAACAAAGCTCGGGTTGGAACTGGGTAAAGGCAAGGATAAGTTTTTCTTACATCTTTCTGACTCGGTGGAACAGGACGTTGTTCGGAGAGAGAAATGGGGTGGAAGTCGTGAAATAAAAACGTACGACTGGTTGACTTTTCATCACGTCATTGGAGCGCGAGTGTCATGCTTCATATCACCAGCTTCTATTGAAAATGACTTGTAGTCAGTTGTTACTTCACCTGTAGATAGCTGATTTTGGCCTTTTTGTTTGTTCATAATGCAGTAAGAAAGCCATATAACAACAGTAACAAAGTAATAGCTGTATTAGATCTTTCATAACCAGCGTTACAAAGTAAATAAATCCAACGACAAATTAGACAAATATTTAAAAAGGATTCAAACAAATAAATAGGATCCCAAACATGTAATATGAACAAGATAAGGTCAAGTCGAGAACATTTTGCCAGCCTTCGAGCACATTCATATCATGTAGGATCTCTTGTAATTACTTCTTTGTGCAAGTTGCACATAATTAAATGAATTATGCACAACTGTCAGTGCATCATATTTTAACCCTTACACAACCGGCTTTATGACCTGAACACTATATGCCACGAGCGCTGCATTATCCTTTAAAATCAAATACCGTTTCTGTAGTTTCTGTGCGTCACAAGAGCTGTTTGATCTCTGGGTTATGTCGTTAATTTTCAGTTTTATTAAAAATAGCTCCAGTGCAGAGCATGGTGATTGAGAGCTGCTGTGTGAGTGTAGAGAGTGAGCATCTTGTTCACCCTTCACTTGACTGTCAATCCCAGGAGTGCCCGCCCCCTCACGGTACTGGATTATGGCTTGAACTCAATCTGAATGCTGAGTAGCACCAAAGTCAGCCTCCGTCTCTCTCTCTGTCTCTCTCTCTCTCTGTCTGTTTAGTCCTGGCGTGTCACTCTTCTTCGTCTGTGTTTCTGAAATAGATGTATTGACATGACACCACACACATGCTGGCTGTTCACACCTGCTGATTCTCACTGTATGACTCAGTCCGTCACACACACACACACACACACACACACACACACACACACACACACACACANAAAAAAATGCATATGAACAGGAGCTCACATCCTAAGAGGTTAAGTAATATCCTACAGAGCTGTAATCATAAGTAAAGTTGTGCCTCGGAAATGCTTAAATTATGAATAAAATTCAATATTAATTTAGAGAGGAGAGGAGATGGAGATGCTGGTGAGGAGAGAAAAGTTCCCCCATAAAGTTCACCATCAGAATAAACAATAATCACTCCACATCTGCAGCCTGATGATAACTTATCTAACTAAAGCAACTTCTAAACCAATAGGATGTGTTTGCATTGATATTGAGGCTTCCTGTTGCCATATTTCGTGAAAGAGTTTATCTTCTAGTACCTGGAATCATCCACACACAGAATAATGTCTCTGCTGCAAATATTGTGCTGTGAAACTGTGAAAAACTACTTTAGCGACACATATGACATGACAAAAAAAAAAATATGTTGACTATGATCGATGAGTAGATCCAGAGCATTTTTAAAAATTTAGTGAAATGAGAAACAACAAGAGATCCGACGCCCAGGCTTAACAACACCGCAGAGCATCACTGTAACCGACAATTTTGTTGTTGTTGTTGTAGATCCATATGCTTTCACCATGACCAAAGACATTGTTGTCGGAGATGAATTACCAGACTGGGTGGGGGCGAAGGAGTTTTACCAGAAGTATGACCCCAAAGAGGTGATTGGAAGGTGAGTCCAGCAAGACACTCTGATAGAAAACTCTCAGCGTCCTGTTAGATCGCGGTGACAACATGCTGGATTGTGTGCCGGTGCTTCTTCTCAGGGGTGTGAGCAGTGTGGTGCGCAGGTGTGTGCACAGACACACGGGTCAGGAGCTGGCAGTGAAGATCATCGAGATCACGGCCGAGAAGATGACGGTGCAGCAGCTGGAGGAGGTGAAGGCCTCGACGCTGAAGGAGATCCAAGTGCTCAACATGGTGAAGGGACACTCCTCCATCAGTACGTCGCAACTCTTCTCTCTGGGACCGCTCGATTCTTTGATCTTCTGTTCACAAATGTGCTGAAACAGTTTTATGTCTTTTCTTCCCTGTAGTCACTCTCATTGATTCCTATGAGTCTGTAACCTTCATCTTCTTGGTGTTTGACCTGTGAGTATGAAGACAAACAGCAGAAATGCAGTGATATGTACAATTCCTCCCTAGAACCTGTTTTTAAAATGTGCCAACTCTTTCATTAACAGCATGAGACGAGGGGAGCTGTTCGACTACCTCACAGAAAAAGTGACTTTAAGTGAGAAGGAAACCAGGTGAGCTTAAGTCTCGATACAGTCGATCTACTGATTTATTCTTGCAGCAGTTTGACATGAATTTGGCCTTTTGAAAGCTTTACAGTGTTTCAGCCTTTCATACTTCAAATCAGATATTATTTACTGAACGTTTTCTAAATTGTACTGTGAATTTATGGAGTTATTCATTTGTCTTCAATGTTTAAGGCACTCATATTATGGCCTCTAATAATAAGAGCGCGTACAGAGTGTAAACTTCTTGTGTTTAAAGGGTTGCTTTGCTGCATATAGCTCTAAAGTGTGATTGTACACAACAACAAGTGGAAGATTTTCAACAATTCAGCCAGTCTAAGCCTTTGGTTTCCGTGCAGGAGCATGATGCGAGCTCTGCTGGAGGCCGTGCAGTACCTCCACTCCCTCAACATTGTGCACCGGGATCTGAAACCTGAGAACGTCCTCCTGGATGATCAGGGTCACATCAAACTGTCCGACTTTGGTTTCTCAGTGCAGCTAGAACCTGGGGAGAAGCTCAGAGGTGCGACTGTGGTGCATGTTAAGTCAGTATTCACAGTAATAGTTGTCATTCAAGTAGATGGAGGTTAAAAAGTGTGTTTTTGTCATTTCCTACCATTAGAACTTTGTGGGACACCTGGTTATTTGGCACCTGAAATCCTGAAATGCTCCATGGATGAACTGCACCAAGGCTACGGCCAGGAGGTCGACCTGTAAGTCATTTACAAACCACGATCCCACGTGTTGTCCTCGCTTCTTTTTCTAATTCTTGTGTCTGTTGCTAAAGCTGGGCGTGTGGAGTCATCCTCTTCACCTTACTGGCCGGCTCGCCGCCGTTCTGGCACCGCAAACAGATGCTGATGCTGAGGATGATCATGGAGGGTCGATATCAGTTCAGCTCCCCTGAGTGGGACGACCGGTCTGACACTGTGAAAGATCTGGTAAGCTGATATTCTGCTAAAAACTGTGAACCACAAGCAGCGGTTTATTTGCTCCCGTCACATTTTACCTCACTGTGGGCTCATTTTTCACTGCAATAGAAAGTCCTGCACCTCTATGGAAACAGCACAGCAACAGCTAAAAGTAAAGCAAACTCTAAGATATCTTCTATGCAGTATGACAGATGTAATTTGATGAATCAGAAAAAAAGAAAGTTACATTTCTTAGATTAGTTTACACTTATTTTAACTGGATTCATTTTTTTATGTCCACCCAAGTAAGTTAAGACAGTTTCTTCTGCAGAAACTGAATAGAGGTTAATACAGGATCTGCAGTAGTACTGAAATGCTGTTATGCTGTACAGTCGTCCTCAAATGTATTCATACCCTCCCATTAAAGAAGGAAAAAACAGCTGTCACTGAAATAAGCTGAAATTGACAAAAGTAAATAAAAAAAAATAATGAAAATCATGACATTGCTTTTGATTTGTGGTTCAACAGAAATATATACAAACAAGCAAACAAGCATGATGGGACCCGTAAACTAATATTTAGTTGAACAACCCTTTGAGCCAATCACTGCAATAAAGTGTTTTCTGTAACTCTCAATCAGACTTCTACACCTGTTGACAGGTGTTTTGATTTCACTGCTCATCAGCAAAGTGCTCTCATCGGTCCAGGACAGTTTTATTTGTTTTTTAAAATTATTCTTTTCAACCACAATTCAAAAGCAATGTCTCATTTTACTAAACTATAATTTAGCAAATTTTTATTTATTATTACTTTTTTCAGTTTCTAGTTATTTGAGTGACTATTGTGAATTTTGCCTTTTCTTTAATAGAAGGGTATGAATACATTAGAGGACGACTGTATATTCAGTGATTCAAAAGAACACTTTATATTTCAATATCTGTATCTGTAAAATCTTTAATGTGTACTTTCACGGTGCTTTTATTTGTGATATTCAGATATCCAGGCTGTTGGTGGTAGACCCAACTGTCCGTCTGACTGCAGAGCAAGCCTTAGCACATCCCTTCTTCAGACAGTACCAGAGGGAGGATGTGCGGCTCTTCAGTCCCAGAAAGACATTTAGGGTGAGTCACACTGCTGGCTTTACTTCTTTTTTTTTGTGTCTGTGGATTTAAACTGCATGTAAAGTGGCTAATACCCTCTATGCCCTCTGCTTCCCTGCCTCCAGGTGTTCATAGTGACCGTGCTTGCCTGCATCAGAATGTACAGCCGCTACCGGAGGGCTCGGCCGCTGACCCGGGAGGTGCTGGCCAGAGATCCTTACTCCCTTCGCGGCGTCCGCAAGCTGATCGACGGCTGCGCCTTCCGCATCTACGGTCACTGGGTGAAGAAAGGGGAGCAGCAGAACCGAGCGGCCCTCTTCCAGAACACGGCCAAGATCATGCTGCTGGGTCTGGAGGACTTTGAAACATAGAAGGTCAACCTCATTCCTCAACACTTTGATTTTTTTATTTAACCGCTCGCATGTTGCTGTCGTCGGTGTTAGTCTTTGTCCAGTGACTGTTTAATTTTAAGGTGAGGAATTCAGGGACCGTTCGTGTGCCTCGTTGTGTGCCGTGACTCTGCAAGTTCAAGATAAGCAAATATTCCTTATCTGTGTTTTGATCCAAGGTTGTGGCTGTTTAAAACTCATCCTGTCAGCTCATCCTGTTTGCAGTGCACTTTGCAGTAGAGGACACGTTGCACAATCTCATCGTATAAGTACATAATGTATATTTAGGATTTTACCTGTTGATCGTCTGTCCTAACTGAGGAGAGGATGCATTTCTAAGCACCGCGAGGGTGAAGTGGAACACAAAGCACTGTGATTAGTTATTTAATACTTGACATACTGTATTAAAGCTCAGATTTACAGATATTCCAGTGTTACAGATCAGCACTGAGGGACATGTGTGAAACGTTTTGAGAATCCTGTAGCTGTCATGCATGCAAACATTCCTCTAATAGGAAGCCCGCTCACACTAAGTGTGAAGACGATCTGTGACTATTCCTTACTAATCCTACCCAGCAGCATTCCCGACTCGGTTCAGTCTAATGAGACGCACTTTTCGTGAAAGTGTGCGCTTGAGAAATGTACAGTAATTGTACAAATGGAGATATACATCGTACTGTATATGCAGAAAAAGGTTTTATTGACAATAAAAACTAATGTTTGGTTTGTCTTATTCAGCGTGAGTGCTTATTTGAAATCTACACACAACCTATCTGAATGGAAACAACTATGGTAACTGTTATTTTTTGGCTTTGTGGTTGGGCTGTGAAGGATCTAACTGATGCTGAAGTGACATTTCTTTCATTCGGTGATCGAGCTGCTCAGACATGTGCATCATTTGCTCTCTGACTTCTCGCTCTATCAGTGCCTTCAGTTCTGACGTGGAACCTGAAAGCGAGCAAATGAAGCAGTCACACATTATTTAGGGATGCATTTCTGCAGTTACGCTCCACGATGATTTGCGATCCTACCAGACGTGGCTTCCTCCTGCTCCGTGATGGATGTTTCCTGCGTTTCAGAAGAGCCTTCGTTCTTTGGTACTGCTTCGGCTTCTTTCTCCATCGCATTTTCAACATCTGCTGCAATAAAAGTAGAAATATCTATAATCCAGCAGCGTACAATCTGAATGATTTGTGAAGTTTACACGGTTTATAAAATACTGAGAGTCGTGGATTATTGTCTCTCATATTATGTCCTGCTTTGCTGAAATTTCTAAGAGCTATTCACAGCTGAATGGCTCCATATCTGACAGTCATAATAACCCCTCCTGGCCTCGACACCAACAGCTCTAATAATGTCTCCTGTGGTCTTTGTGCCTTATCAACAAATGCCCGGAAAGAGGCTCGAAACCTTGGTGTTATTTTATCCTCTGAGTTGTCTTTTGATGCTCAGGTGACCAAAGTGGTGCAGGTCAGGTCATTCCTTTCTGCTGCAGATTTAGAAAAGGTCATCCATGCTTTCATCTCCCCTAGACTTGACAATTATAATGCACTTTATTCTGGTCATAAACATCCAAATCCTGCAGTCACTGTAAAATGCTGCTGCCAGGCTTTTAACACGCACCAAGAGAACATATTACCCCAAACATAGCTGATCTTAACTGGTCACTGGAGGGTTGTAGAATTAATTTTAAGATCATATTGCCCGTTTATAAAGCCTTAAATGGTCTGGCTCACTTTCATCATGTAGCGAATTCTTATTCTATTTAATGTATTCTAGCTGTTATGTTTTGGATCTTATTCACTTGCAATATCTGTTTTCATTGTAAAGCACTTTGTGACATTGTTTTTAAAAGCTGCTATGCAAATACAGTTATTATTATAACTGTGCATAAAATTAGGCTGTTGTTGATGGATGATTCATGCTAGAGTGTGAATCAGCACTGGTTCTCTCTGATAAACATGCAGTGTACCAGCATGCACGCTGTTCTTGCCATCGCTGTCAAAGTGTGGCGGCACATTATCGAAAACTTGTCTCATTTTATCTCAAAGATCAGAAAAGCTAACCTATTTGATTCTAACTGCCAGAAAACAAAACAGAGGAAGAACTCTGCACACGTAACTGCCATCATCCATCTCTGTGTTGTGTAGTCATACAGATAAGTCAAAAAGAAAACAAGGCGGCTTACTCGCAAAATGTTGATTTACAAAAGAAAACCAAAAAAAATCTAAGCCAGTCAATGCTGATGCACGACCAGAAGTGGGTGTTTTCTGCAACAGCTGTGAGCACTATCCATCCATCCATCAATTATCTACACACTGCTTAATCCTCACGAGGGTTGCAGGGGGGCTGGAACCTATCCCAGCTTACTCAGGGTGCAGCCAGGGGACACCCTGGACAGACAACCAAGCACACTCACATTCACACCTACGGACAATTTAGAATCACCAATTAACCTCAACATGTTTTTGGAGAACCCAGAGAGAACCCACGCTGCACGGGGAGAACATCCAAACTCCACGCAGAAAGATCAAGGGTCCTCACTGGGACGCAAACCGGCGACCTTCTTGCTGCGAGGCAACAGTGCTAACCACTGAGCCATCCTGCAGCCCCTGTGAGCACTAATAATGTGAAATAAAAGCTAAATCAAGTGCTTTATAAATGTTCTAGGTGTCATTTCAGGAAAGCCACAGTGTTGCACTGTAGTCAAAGGGCCTCAGAATGTTCTAAATCTCAATGCAGCAACATAAAGTAAAACAGATGTGGTAAAGGCAAGTAGGTTGAAGTCATTTAAAAAAAAAAATTGTAGATCTTCAGACCCTCCTACATTTCAAGGATGTAAAACATTTTTTTTCCTCATGATGCTACTGTTGGTCCTTTTTGTACTCCGCCAATTTCCAGATTTAGAACATGCAATTATTTATTGGTGAGCCTGTTTCCTTAGTCAGACCTCTGCACCAGCAACAGGCAATGACTGAAGCATCACGTTGTCCGGTTGTCTGTCTCTACAGTTTATTTATTTTTAATCTCAGGAACACCTTGAGGTCATTTCCTGGCACAAATGTTGCAATGATAAACTGAAAACATGTTTTTGCTACGACTCGAGAATTTGAACACTAATCATGATGAAATTTTGTACAAATGTCTAACAGGATGAACTGATGAAGTGATGACAGTTTATATCCAAAAGGTCAAAGGTCAATTGTGAGATCACGACGCTCTGCAAAACAGTTTTCTGGCCGTTATTTAACACCATAACTCGGGAACAGAAAGGGTAAATTGTAATCATATTTCAAATTTCGTCAGATACTGAATTGGTGACAGTAATCTCTCTTCTATGCTCCTGGTTTGAAGATATGTGTAAAGCACCAATGTTTTAGTGAAGCACTATCTGCAGCTCAGTGTTGTGAACACGTAAAAGCCATTTGACTGTTCCTTGTTTCTTGACTTCAGGAAAATACGACTGTAATCTGCAACTTGACTGGTCGGGGGAAGCTTACAACCACCAGGCTGCAATTTTAGATTTAAACTGTTTTCTATCAGTTTTAGTACAAAAAGGTGTTGTTAACCCTTGAAAACAGGTCAATGCTACCTGCTATGCATGTTTGTGCTACTAAAACCGTGTATTTATTACCTGGCACCGAGGAAACCTCAACAGTTCCATGCTCAGCCATCCCAGAATATGTCAAAGACAAATCAAGTTTAACCTGGTAAAATATGATGAAAAACACAAAACCTCATTATTCTCTCCTGATAATCTTCATTTAGGTAATTTAAACAAAAATAAATAAGCAAAAGTTGTCAAATACTTTCTTACCTGTGGGGTAAAGATATATTTGTAGAGTTTGTAGTGTCTCATGTAGCTGCTGTGGATGTATTCTAAGATACAGTTTGCCTCCGTAGAGCTGAAGAGGTTGATACTGAATGGAGGCCGCTGTAGGGTGCAGAGACAGGCCAGGAAGCAACTTTACATTCATGGAGATATCTGGGTGTTAAAATGAGACTGTGAACAAAAAGATTTGTGATAGTTTTACACACCCTGACTGAGTGACAGAGCAGAAGCTCTTTGCAGTACTTCAGACACTGTTCGATGTTGAGGAGTGGAGTTTCTGCAAGAAAACAGTTTCAGACACAGTGTGCATGAAGTTACAGAACATTTTATGTAATTCACATGAGCTAGTCTGGCCCCAATAACAATTTTATTTAGTGGATACCTGACTTTGAAATGTAATAAAATGCAATATATGCTACATGTTACACAGTCTTCTTATTAAATTGGTGAGGGACGTGATGGACAACATGAGTACTGTAAAATTAATGTCAACAAATTAGGTCATTTGTACTGTTTTTTGGGGGGTTTTTTTAGAGAAAAAGCTGGAAGCCTGTTTCTTCACCTCCTAACTACTGACCTATGTTGGCCTCATGGATGGACTTGATGATGGACAGGAGAGCAGAAGTTTGTTCCTTTTTGTAGCTGTGCTCTCTGCAAAAAAGCACAGTCTGCACATAAAGCTCCAGCAGAGCTCCTCTCTTTGGTTCAGGGAGGTCAACTCCAAGCACGCTGCATAAAGCACTGAGGGAGAGGAGAAGAAGTTAGGCTGCAAAATACAGTTAGTGGTGTGACCATTGATAAATGGATTTGTTTCTGGGCATAGACAGGGGCAGAAACCTCTCCAAATCAGGAATGGACTGTAATTTGTCAATTTCCTCCATGTCATGGTAGCTTACATCCGTCCTGAAGGGTTAGACATAACATTCAGTCAGGCAACTTGTAAATAAAGCAGCTTGAAATCAAAATTATCGAACTGTAGACATAACTCTCACCATAGCATGACTCTGGCTTTCAGGGCATGTGGTACCTACAGAGGAAAACAATGTCTGCAATGCATTACAAGGCAAGACTTGAGAGAAGAGGTGAGCTGTATCCAGTGTGAGCTGTGTGCATCTTTCTAATTTAATGATATAAATAACAAAACAGTGGGCAAGTTTATTTACATAGAATGTTTGAAACAACCTGAGTTCACCAAAGGGCTGTATGTTATATATCAGGCAACAAGAAAAATATGTGCAAGAAGAGAGAAATTATAAAGATAAATATATAGAAAAATAAGATTTTACGACCATTAAGATTACAGGTTGACTGTGAACAAAAATGGCAAGAACTGTAAATAAATGAATATTTTCACAAATGTTAACTCATTCTTCAACAATGTGTGACTGCTTACTACATTGAAGTGACACAAAAAATGGTATTAATTTTCAAAGTTGTTTTTTTTTAATTTAAAGATTTAAAATCACCAATATATATATATTATTTTACAAATATTTGTCATTACTTTTTACAGTTTTGTTTTGTTTTTTGTTTATTTGTATTCATATTGAAAGAGTTATTTTGAAAAACAAGACCCTACAATATTTACAAATAGGCTAAATAATAAATAAATAATGTCCACATAAAAATATGTATTTTTATAAATTAAAGTGAATTCTTTTACGTGTGACTGTATTTTACTCTTTGAATATTTTTTTCCCCTTTTTTCTTTTCCTAACACAATCCCTTCTGTCTTACTATGATTTAGTTCAACACAACCCATCCTCTCACTAGTTACTGTGAACCAAACCAAGCTAGCAGCACCTACCTTTATTTTCGTGTCCATCTTTTTCGCCGCAGATCAGAGACAAATGATCAAACCGTACGACTAGACAGCTGGAAAAACAGAAATGTGGTAACACAACACTTGTCTGAACAGACCGTGGAACTAAAAACTGATGAAAAGCGTTACAATATTAGAATTTAACCACGACGTGAACCGACACGAGCTTCAGTTACGCTGCATCGCGCCATCTTTGTTTTCAGTATCCTAGCAACGGGCCACTTTACCACGTTTACCTGTGCCTGCCAAAAAATAGTTTCGCTTATCGTAATTTATTTAAACACTTAAATACATATGTTTAGCAACTTTTTTAGAAAAAGAACGAAAGCATGTACTGGAGGTAAGGTGAAAATGAATCGTTATTTATCAACCTGTGTGGGAGCTCAGTTAATAAGTGTTTCTACAACTTGAGCGGCTCATGTTTAACTCATTATGTCCAACATGTGAGTCACTGTCACCAAAGAGCTTGTTCATTCAGAGTGGTCTGGATTTGGTGGGTTTATCTCTCTATAATATATTACTATTGCTATGGCGCCAGTTGCAGCGGCTCTTACCTACTTCCTGTGTTTTTTGGCTATTTTGTTTTTTCTCTTTCTAACCCAAACCTAAGGGAGAAAGTCAGAATCCAGCCGAAACAAGATGACACTAACCATGACAAAAAGGAACTGGAGAGTATTGACAACTTGCGACAGCCAGTGCATTTCCTTTGACCACCCATCCCAAACTGCAGGGGAAGCCATCGAGACAAATTTTAAAAGCTAACCCAGGATTATCATTGACTGCTAGTTTGACATCTCTTCCAGCCCAACCAATCAGGGACCGCCCGCTCCACCCACCGGCTCCTCCCATGGCGCCAATAGTCATGCACCAAGCTCCATACACGGCTCCTCCTCCTCCTCCTGTGTCACTAACCATTCCTCCTGCTCAACCCCAGGCCCCTCCAGCATCACTAGCTCCACCTGCGGTGCCTCCTCAAGCTGCATCTTGGAGCAATCATCCAGCTCCTGCACTCGCACCCCACACATAATCCAACTCATTTATTACAGCCTTATCCACCTTATGTAGCCCGTAACCCTCAGGTGACGTTCACTCCTATGCCAGCCTTAATACCGTCCAACCCTACTCCATCTCCAAGCACAGACCTGAAGCCAACGATTCCCCACTCGGACATCCCCGATGGGCTCCACAGGAGGAAGAGGGGATGCAGGGCCGGAGTGAATCCATAAACTAATATTTTGTTGAACAACCCTTTGAGCCAATCACTGCAATCAAGTGTTTTCTGTAACTCTCAGTCAGACTTCTGCACCTGTTGACAGGTGTTTTGATTTTGGCCCACTGCTCATCAGCAAAGTGCTCTAATTTGTCCAGGACAGTTTTTTTTGTTTGTTTTGTTTTTTTAATCTTTTCAACCACAGTTCAAAAGCAATGTCTTATTTCACTAAATTATAATTTAGCAAATTTTTATTTATTATTACTTTTTTCAGTTTCTAGTTATTTGAGTGACTATTGTGAATGTTGCCTTTTCTTTAATGAAAGGGTATGAATACATTTGAGGATGACTGTAGATTTAGACCAAACTATACAAGCTCAGATATATGGAGTGTATATTTAGGCACAAAACCAGAGTTAGTTTTAAAGGAAGTGATTCGATGTTGTGCCAAAAGGTCACTGCGCTCATGTTTATGCTGTATAACTCAGTTTATAAAAGCCTACAGCTGTTTTTAGCAGGCTCAAATGTGCAAATACACATTACTTATATGTCTGTCGCCACAGGAAACATGTCTTTTGAAGCTTTAACATTTCTTGTAAGTGGACAATAACAACTAAAGTAATGTTTGTAGTTCATAGCATAATCAGACATCACATTCAGGATGATTATAAGCAGTATTAGGATATTGTTTCAGTTTGTTAATGCCTAATGTCCTTGTTAAGGATGTAATGTAATATATGGATGGGTATTATACAAACATAAAGAAATTATCTCTTTTGCAATTATCCTACTGTCTATAAAAAAATTATGTCAACATGTACAGTAATGCTTTCTGAGAAAAGAGCAGATTTCCATTTGTAAAAATCTAGATGTGTGATATGAACATTATTTAGTTTTTATTCAGTTTTGGCCTGTTCTTTTATGGTTAACATGTAAATTAAAACCCTTTTTTCTATTATTTTACTAGATACCTGCAATTTAACAGTAAATTATTTCAAAAAATCACTAGAGTTAAACACTACTGAAAAAAAAAACATACACTTTTATTTTAGTGTAGTTTCACAAAGTGCAGACAGCAATCCCCTTGGCCCCAGATAACGGAGATGAACAGTGATTATTTTCTCATTAAAGACACCGTTGTGGCTCTTCCCAGACTCTCTCCATCACTGCATGGCAGCTGTAGCCATGGCAACCATATAAACCTGCCTCAGTGTCCCGCTAACAGCAAGCAGCTAAGTGATCTTGTTTGGTTGATTTTAATATTCTTCGAGGGGATATGTCCTGCAGGAAAGTGAAGCTCTCTGAGTGAGACTCAGCAGCTTTAAGGCACTTTGTTGTGACTGTGGCAGCGTCCTTGTTTGACTGCTGGGTAAGTGATGCAGATTGCTGACTGTAACAGAGAGGGCACCTCCCTCCTATTTCTCCTGCTTCAGTTCTAAGAGCAGGCCTTACAGCATCTCCGTAAAGCACTCATGGAAAGCTTGTCTTGCTCAAGAGACCGCCTGTCCATACTCACCGAGCTGTGCAGTGTCGTTTAAGAACATTATCCCCTTTTTAATCCACTTTGCCTTCTGCTACATGCAGGTGGACAGACTGGCAGATGGAGCTGGGTGCCACAATCAAGCACCCGCTTCCACAATTATTTGCGCTTTTGGACAACAATTTTAAATGTTCTCACGTTAAAGCTCGGTGGTGGATATAATCTGCTGTTTTCAGATATTTAGTATCTTACTGCTTACTTTGTAACTAGCAGTGAGACTTCTCTCAGACATGGAGGAGCCTGATATGCGACAACAGAAGCTGGACAACCAGGTAAACAAACTGTGATCACAAGTAGTTGATGTCATGTGAATAGCCCAGACATGTTTTTGTTTATTACTGGTACCAGAATTACAATGAACTTTACATAACATAGAATGAGTTGTTACTCTTCAGTTGATAAAGTGGATTTTTAGCTGTGATCCTGTAGCAAAAAGTTGAATAAATGTAATTATCAAAGTTCATACTGACACTGGAACAAAGACTGGAGCTTGTTTTGTATTTAATTTTTAATTTTTGTATTTAATCTTACAACAAGTGGTTGAAATGGAAGCAGAGCCTTTCAAAATAAATCAAGCTCTCTAGAGTGTCGCAAGGTCATGACTGGTCGTGTCAGAAGCACCTGCTGTTTGGAGCTGCTGCTCAACTTTAAGTCCCAGTCTTATTTACGGTGTACAGTATGTGGACTACTGGCTGATATCCAGTAAAGTGCTGCACGAATACCAAGAAGGCCAGCAGATTATCCATACTGATACTAATAGTAGCTGTAGTAGCTCAATAGTGCTAATCCTAAACGAATACTCATTGTAGTAGTGGTGGTCGTAGGAGTAATCAGCCACAATGATGTAAGGGATTCAGAGTTAGTAGCTCATCTTCTTGAGCTGGCAAAATTTACAACAGACAATTCACTGTCTATAATTTAAGACAATCCTACAACCAATATTAGTTATACAAATATTGAGTATAGACATGACTATCTGAATCATTCTAAGTAATGCTCTATCCATCCATTAAATCCCTAAAAACTCATCCGTCTATTAAAGTCACATATTTAGATTTTTTTTCAGACAATGCAAAACAACAATGACAATTTATAATTTTGGAATAACTCAGCTGCACACATTCAAACCTTAAATCCATTCTGAAGATGAATATTGATGTGGAAAGGTTTGTTATAAAGCCCGACTGATTTATCAGTTGGTCAATATTATGGGCTGATATAGGAACGCCACGCATACACTGACATCTGTATATATGTTGTGCTATAAATATAATGCAGAAAGATGCAATTTAGAAATGGTGTCATCATACAGTTTGCATGGCAGAGCAGCTTTTACTCCATTCTTTCATCTGCAGCACATGTAGCAGAGCATATATCACAACATGGCTCACAATATGGCCAACACTGTTCAACAAGATCACATGTTAAAAGTGAGATAATTACTGTGTGGGAAAGCAACATATCTCTGTGTGTCTATATATAAAAGGATAAGACGCGTTACTTTTCTACTCCTGTATCTGTGTTACCATGAATGAATATTGCGCTGAGACAGTTTGAAATGTGTGTGATTCTCAATTGTCCCACAGAGAACCCTTCTGATGAAAAAGCAGCAAAAGAAGAGGGCTGATTCTCAAATGATGGTAGCCAATCGGGATGCCCGCCAAAAGAATCGAAAGCACAAAGCTGCCCTCTCCGATGAGACGCCTCTGTTGATCAGCCAGTCCCTGAGCAACACTTCACTGAGTGGTCAGTATTAGAACGATTTCATGTTGCAAAGAACAAAGCAAGCATGTGGTGCAATTACAGTATATTCAGTCTATTTATAGTAACTTTTTGTTTGTTTCTTGGAGATCAAGTGGAACATGCCCATGATAACCCACTGGACGAGATCACACTGGGTGAATACGACATGACAGAGAGCGTGGCGTTCGATGAGATGCCTTCAGAGAAGCCTGCCACTCCCAAGAAGATGAACTTGGAGATTGACAACGAGCCTGAGGTGAAGTGTGAGGAAGAGAATGAAGCTCACGCGGAAGGAAAAAAAACGAAGAAGAAAGAGGGCAAAAAAGAAAAAGCCAAACGTAAGGAACGAGCACTGTCCTGTGATTTTATGCAAATCGAGGCGACACTGTCCTTTAATAAATCACTAATGAGCAACTAACTGTGTTTGCAGAGGTGGAACAGACAGAGGAAAAGGAGAAAGAAAAGGACAAAGACAAGGAGAAAAAGGAGAAAAAAACAAAGAAGAAAGACAAAGTGAAAGATCCTGGAGATGCAGAGAAGACAAACAAGACGACCAAACAAGAGCGCAAAAGTAACGCTATTAAGAACATGAACACACTGCATAATATAACCTAACACATTTTACTGACCCCATTAGGCTTTATTATTATTCTACTCAGCTTTAACAGCACTTAACTGCCTCCTCTTTTGCAGAGAAGCATTTACAGGAGGCTTCAACCCCTGATACAGAGCCAGCGATGGAGGCGGCAAGCCCTAAGAAGAATAAAGAAGATGGGAGTGAGGATGAAGGGGAGGAAGATGAGCCCCAGAAGCCTGTTCCTCAGTCACCTAAGAGGAAAAAACAGCTGGACACATGTGAGTGAAAATCCAGCTTAATGCACCGTGCGATCAACAATGCTGTAATGGCGGAGCAAAAAAAAATGATGTTGTGTGTGATCACCTCCACAGCCAGGTGCCAAATAAGTGACGAGAGCAAAGACGACGAACACCAGGAGAAGGAGAAAAAAGACAAAAAGTCGAACAAAGCAGAGAAAACGACGCCGAGTCTGGCTTCACTTAACTCCAACTACAGAGAGCGCTCGACTTCAGGGAGTGAATCCAATGAAAGAGTGAGACTTTACAAATAAAACATAGATTGAAAATATTGTCGATGGTGAATTTGACAAGTGTGCACCGCATTCTGATTTCTCACTCTTTCTCATTACAGACAACTTCTCCAATTTCAGTGGAGGATCTGGAGAAGTTCGCTTTGCGTCCCGCTCCCAGAGACGTGACGATCCAGTGCAGAGTCACCAGGGACAGGAGAGGCGTGGAGAAGGGCATCTACCCAACGTACTACCTCCACATGGAGAAAGAGGACGGCAAAAGGGTTGGCGCTTCAGGAAAATTGCAGCCAAATCATTGTGCACGTTGATTTTAGATGTGACAATATGATCCTTCTTTCTTGAGCTGTTACATCTGTGTCCTAACCTTCTCTTCACGTCTGTTTTTTTTGTTCTAAGGTGTTTCTAATGGCAGGCAGAAAAAGGAAGAAGTGCAAAACATCCAACTATCTCATCTCCACTGACCCCACAAATCTGTCCAGAGACACAAACGGCTACATTGGAAAACTCAGGTATAACTCTGTTTTCTTTCAGCCTCATGATAATCATTTTTTGGCTAATCTGAGTTTAAAACAACAACAAAAAAATTATGATCCAAACTCTTGTTTTTATTAATCCCAACTCTGAGAGGCTGTCACACTGTTTCAGGTCTTAAACATAGAAACAAGAAACAAGACTCGCACTGCAACAAAAAGGATTCATTTTTAAACCTGATTAAATCACAGTTCAACTTGAAATTATGCTGCACCCAACTACCAAATTAGCATGAAACTAAGAAAGATAAACCTTTCCTAAAGCCAAGATTTTACTCTAACCACAGAATACATTTACCTCTGTTGAAAAAAAAAGCTTTAAACTCCAATTTAAAATGTGATCCAGTATTAACTTTAAATTTATACTTGAGTAGGTTTAACTTTTAAAAAATTGTGTAATCGAGCATCTAAATATTGATTAAACTTTACTCAGCAGAAAATATTTTAAAATGTGCAACAGAGCTCTGGTTTATTTTTTTCTGGATTTGTTCATTTTAAACCTGGTTTTGCTCAACTCTGATTAGAACTAATCTTAGATTAAATAAATCTCTATTGGTGCAACTCAATATTCTGCAGCCGGCAGATCTGTGAGGCTCAGAAATCGACATGCAAACATGCTCACAGTGACATGCTGATAGTAAGCAGGTGTATTACTGATCATGTTTACTAGTCTTAGCTTAGTGTGTTAACATGTTAATACCTGCTAATTAGCAATATAAATACAAAGGCTGATGTTAGTCATTTTGCAGGCATTTGGTCATAAAGCAAAGTAATCTACAAATTAAAATCCTCCTGAAACCATCCAATAGTTTTTGAGACATTTTATTTAAAAATGCAAGTATTGAACTCAAAGTGGTGCATTAAGTAAAAATCTGTGGATCTCCAGTCGTGCTACATTATGTTATTGCACAACCTGGACCTGAAAAGCTAACTTAGAGCAGACACGAAGTTTGACTCTTCAAAGCAAATAAAGTACAAGTGCATCACGTGTCTATTTGAGAGTTCCGGTGTTGCGACCTACACAACAGATCATCAAATCATGCATCTGACAGGAGTGATTTGTTTCAGGTCCAATGTTCTGGGTACAAAGTTCACAGTCTACGATGGAGGTGAAAACCCAGAGAAAAAACCTTTCATCAAAGAGTGCGAATCAGTGCGGCAGGAACTGGCAGCGATTTGCTATGTGAGTGTGAGTGTAATAAACATCCCATTTCACACAGTGTACAAACCAGTAAAACCTGTAACACAAGCATTTGTCATATTCCAGGAAACCAATGTGCTGGGTTTCAAAGGTCCCAGGAAAATGACAGTGATCATCCCTGGCATGCTGGAGAACGATGAAAGAGTGGACATCCATCCCAAAAATGTACGTTTAAAAAAAAAGAACTCATAAGACAGAACCTGTCTTGAAAGAAGGTAAAATATCGCAGATGAAGTGACGTTTTTAGTTTCCTGCAGGAACTTGACACTCTGCTGGCCCGCCATGCAAACGGCAACACAGACAAACTGGTCACAATGGTGAACAAATTCCCGAGCTGGAACGAGCAGACTCAGTCGTACGTGCTGAACTTCCACGGACGTGTCACTCAGGCGTCTGTCAAGAACTTCCAGATCATCCACCCCGACAACGGTAAGATACGGCATCTCTGAGCCACCATTAGAAAAAAGATATCTGTCCTGTTTGTCTCAGTAACCTCACCGGCCCGCCCTCCTGATGTCTCCCCCAGAGGATTACATCGTCATGCAGTTCGGCCGAGTGGCGGAGGACGTCTTCTCCATGGACTACAGTTTCCCCATGTGTGCCCTGCAGGCCTTTGCCATCACCCTCTCGTCCTTTGATAGCAAACTGGCCTGTGAGTGACCCATGCTGGTGTGCCTCAAGTGACATTTACAGGTTGAAAATGAATTATACCCATAATTTTCCACAGGGCCATTTTTCATGTTTTATATCCTGGTGGATTGTAGCAACTTTGTAAACAATAAATATGCGGAGGGGGGGGGACAAACAAACAAACAAAAAAACACCACAGACCTGAGCAGAGACTTGTTTTATAGGTGCTGTAATATTTTACCACTGATTTTATACTGAGGTAGAATCGATCTATGTTGATTAATTTAAGGGATTTCTTTTCAAGGACTTGTGCAATTAAAATATTGAGGATATCTGTGCAAACACTACACGTGAAATAATAAATGATGATTATATGACATTTGCACATGACTGAGTCATCGTTCTCTGATGGAAAATATTTTTCTTTGACATTAATTCGGCCAGAGTTTATCTGGCATCAGATATTTCCACAAACTTGGTGAGTACAGCTTGTGTTGCTGCGGTGGTCCTCACAGATCTTCATCAGGGTGTACAATTTGAAGTCATCTCACAAGAGCCATCTCTAGCGGTCTCCTATCACGCCAAAGTCTTTATCACAAAATAAGGAAACATCTGTATCACATGCTAAAGAAACTGAAAAAAGGTCCTTATATCAGATGCAGCAGATCTAGATAGAGCCAGCCGTATCTGGATCTCTCTGGTCTTGCACAATGCAGCAAGTTGAAAATATTTCCATCTCGCAAGAGTACGTTGCTGATGTCAAACACGTTTTCAGCACAAGTTCACACAGCCTCACAGGGGGAGGCCGGCGTCATTTAGGTCTCAGCAAATAAATATAGGCGTTCGAGATGCTCTGTGGTGAAGAAAGGTGAACGCAAGTGCACAGATATTTTCGTTGGCAAAACCTAAATTAAACTGAGTGATAACATTCTGTTTTTACTTGTTTCCTGTTCAACTGCTCTGAAAGTCTTAACAAGCTATTGAAAATTGCAAACTTTCTTGACCTTTTTGCTGCAACATGCTGTACACATGAAGAGTTGATTTGCAAAAACAGATAACTCCATCTTCACAAACCTTCAGAAAACCCACTTTTCCATCGTCTACCTGAGACAATATCAATCAAACTTTACTTACCTCTATTTTTGTCATTTCTACTGAGTCAAATCCACTCAACTTCAGTTTGATTGATTTTATCTCAAGCAAACAACAACAAAAACGTTTTCTGAAAATCTACAAAAATGGAGTTATCTGTTTTTGCATATCAACTCTTCATATGATGAAGGCCTCTTTGGTCCACCAGCACAAATTCATGCAAAACCGGATTTATTCACAACTCATGTTTCTCACAACACGAAACTGGACGGGCAAACAGCTTTAAGCATGATGCATAACTGTATAGGCTAGCATGTTTACAAGCTCCAAGGCAACAAAATCACAAACCTTAAAGGAAGCCGTGAACCTCAGTGCCACCTCTTATCTTTTAAAGAATCACAACAACACACAACCAACATCCAGCTGCTCTCCCATCAGTGTGCAACACCCGAGCTGTGCACCCTTTTTACATTATCGCATCAGTCAGAGTGTTGCACAACACCCTCACAGGTTACATTAAAATAATCCAATGCCTGGTTAGTTGTGAAATCAGAAAAGTGCTTGAATGTAGTCTTGGCTTAGATGGCACATATGTGTAGTGCGCAACCACTTACTGCCTAAATCACTCAATCAAGACTGTATGAAGATGTCTGAAATGCCGTAAAAGTGACCTAAAAATGTCCTATAAACACGAGTTTTATGACTATATCTGTCTGGATGACACAGTCGAGCAGCTAGGATACACTGAGGGTATGAATAAAACCGTTTTAAAAACATAAAAACATTGTGAACTCAGTGTTTAAATTGTGCCAGTTGGGGCATTTTAGATGCCCAGTGGGTTACATTTCTTTATTGTTGCAAGAAATAGTTTTTTTATGGCTTACACTATGATATTCAGCACATAGCAATGTGTCCTATATATATATAAGAATAGTTCAAAGGTAGCTGAAAAGGTATGAAAAAAACTAAATGATCTAATATAAAAACTGAATAAAACAAGCAGAAGCCTACATTTCCTTTGTGCACTATTAGATTCAGGTTTATGAATGCAGTATGTAGATGTTTAGGAGTCTGTTTTAAATAAGCTTGAAGTAAACATGAGTATTTAGATTTTTTCAGTTGCAGGAACATTTTGAATCTGATTTAGGTTGCAGAGCCCAAGAAAGGAGTTTGTGCAATTTTTTTTTTTTTTTTGTTGCCTGACAAGTTTCAACGTTGCATGTGTGTATTTGTTGCATTATCAGCACAACAATCAATCAAAACGGATATAACGCAGTGCTGATGAGGCATGAATGTCTCCTAGCTTTGTGAATATCTAGCGGGTTAGCATACAAGTGAAGAAGTCTCAATAGAAGAAGGCATTCAAATGCACCACAGTTAAATGCAAAGTGTCTCAGCAGCGAGTAAAGTGTGAAATAAACAAAGACTGAGAGCGTTTCAGATCGGCTTCTAACACAAACGAAACAGCCTCTATTAAAGAATGGAATGTGCTGATGGTTTATAAAGTTTTATGAGATGTCATGCTAAAGTCACCGTACTGTATGACTGACTGTTCGGTTACACTACAGCCATACCCCTTTCACACACTTTCATTTGCAGCCACTGTCTCAAAAAAGCACATCCTCTCTCACCACTGAGAGTGACAGCTCTGCATGTGAACAGACTGACTGGTACCTCCCTCTCTCAGTCTGCCATATTAAAAGTGTTTTACGAGAGTCGTGGGGCAGCATGACTTCTTCTCGGGGCTGAGGTGACGTCCGGACTGAGGATGAAGCTGACGCTGCTCATTGTGTTTCTGCTCAAGTCCTCCTGGCTGCATGGAAATCCCATCACAGGTTATATTTTTGCCAGTATTTTTAATAATTTAAAAGATAATCATGTCTATGAGCAAAAAAAAAAGTATAAAGATGCACATTGTTTATCTGCTGCTTTGGACAAAAGTTAAATAGATAACTGTGAAGTGTATATGGAAGTTATATAAATGTATGACATAGCACCAGATGTGCAATAAAGGTCAGACTAACTGGCTCAGAGCCTTTGTTGACTGTTTGACTACAGGGACTAGTTATCTGACTTTTGACCTTCTAGAAAAAGTCTGCTAAGCTTTACTATTATAAATGGGGGGTAATATTTAGTGATCACTAAGAGTCCATGACAAGGTTGCCTTTATAATTACAGAAGATACTTCCCATTAGGGTTCAATAAAGTATGTCTGATTCTAATTGTGATATACAAATGCTGAAGACACAGGTGGATGATTGGGATGGCTGGAGTTCACTAAACAAACCAGGCTGTGCCTTAATTGCAGGGCTGGCAGCTTGATCACATGTCAATGTGACACAAGACCCCAAATGTTGCCACCAGGCAGCACCTTGCATGGCAGCTGCTAAATGGGTGAATAAGAGGCGAAATTGCAAGGTGTCGTATAAGGCAGAAAAGTATGATTACAGCGCAGTCCGACTTTAACTGTGTTTACATTATCTTGAAATAATCCTCCAGGTTAAAAGGTTAGTGTCCGCTGCAGCTGTTTCTGCTGTCTATAGTCCAGTGTTCTGCTGTCTCTGTTTCCTTATTAGAGCTACGTTTATACATTTTCG